TCAGACTGCTGCGCACTGGGAGTCTGACTGACAGCACTGTCACACCTGGAGTGGATCAGACTGCTGCGCACTGGGAGTCTGACTGACAGCACTGTAAACCCTGGACTGGATCAGACTGCTGCGCACTGGGAGTCTGACTGACAGCACTGTAAACCCTGGACTGGATCAGACTGCTGCGCACTGGGAATCTGATTTTCGCTCCCCTGCGTACGAGCAGCAGTTGTCTACTGTGAACATGCTGACTAGATCTGGCTGTGTGACCCCGTTTTCTGCTCTTCTTCCCACAGGACCCCTCGTCCACCCGCCCGGCCGCAGCCCCCCCGTCCTCCTGCCCGCCCCCTCCGCTCCCCGTGCACCCCGCGCCCCTGCCCTCGCCGCCGCCGCCCCCCGGCCGCCTGCCCCCCGAGGCGGCCAGCACCTCGCCCCCCCAGAAGCCGCAGCTGAAGCTGGCGCGAGTGCAGAGCCAGAACGGCATCGTGCTGTCCTGGTCGGTGACGGAGGTGGACCGCAGCTGCGCCGCCGTGGACAGCTACCACCTGTACGCGTACCACGAGGAGCCCGCGCCCGCCGCGCCGCCCTCGCAGTGGAAGAAGATCGGCGAGGTCAAGGCGCTGCCTCTGCCCATGGCCTGCACGCTCACGCAGTTCGTGTCCGGCTCCAAGTACTACTTCGCCGTGCGCGCGCGGGACGTGTACGGCCGCTTCGGGCCCTTCTGCGACCCGCAGTCCACCGACGTCATCGCCGCCGCCAGCAGCAGCTAGGGCCGGGCCGGGCCGGGCCGGGGCGCCTTGGACCAGCAGCCCCTGCTCATGTCGGGAGCGGCGCCGCGCTGCGGTCCGGCGCTCCCTGAGGCGGTAGTGAGTGTTCAGGGTTCGACGAGGGGCGTTCGGCCCCCCCCTCTGTCCGTTGTGATGAGGAGTTTGCGTTCTGGTGACAGCTCGGCTCCACTCTGCAAACTTGTGCGGCTCCACGCTGTGCAGGAGTGTGCTCGTGCAAACAGCCTGACCTCAGGCCTGTGCGTGCGTGCGTGCGTGCGTGCGTGCGTGCGTGCTGGTGTGTCTGTGGACACTCCTGAGGCCTGTGGGTGCGTGCGTGCGTTCTCGCGCGTCTGTGGACACTCCTGAGGCCTGTGGGTGCGTGCGTGCGTGCGTGCGTTCTCGCGTGTCTGTGGACACTCCTGAGGCCTGTGCGTGCGGACACTCCTGAGGCCTGTGCGTGTGTGCGTGCGTGTGGACACTCCAGGAGGTCAGTGTCTCTGCAGTGGGATCTCGGACTCTGCTGCAGGAGGGAAGCCCAGGCCCTGTCCAGGAGGTTCCTGGAGAGGCGCAGGCTTGAGGCTGACCATACTGCCTCCTGCAGGCCTGCAGCAGTACTGCGCACACTCCTGCTTCACTGGTGCGGCTGTCGTTCACGAGCTGCTCCCCACGAGCCGGGCAAGAACAGTCACTTACTGTAAAGCGTTACTGTTTCATGGAAAGTTTTTTTTCTTAATTGGACAAAAGTTCTCATCTTGAACACGATCAGGGATGCTGAACTTCTTCGCTGTCTGGTAACCAGACTGCACTGCGTGCCGAGAGCTGGAGAGGGGCGTGATGGGAGTCACAACGCCCCCCACGAGATGAAATGCTGTGTACTTTCCGAGTTCAATATTTCTATATTTTTTTTTATTGTTCATTTTTCTTCCTGTTTTAATAAAGCCCTGACCAGGAGTGTGGTGTCCGTCCTGAAGCTCTGAGAAAGGGGTCCTTAATTATGTCACTTATGGAGTGACTGTGTGGGTATTGGGCTACACTGTGTAACTGGTGTTATAATGGTCACCTGGTCACTAACGATCCCGGGGTGCTGACCCTGGTGCCTGACCGCTGGTCTGCTGTTCCCCGAGATGTGCTGTGTCGCTTGCTGTAAGAACGTGTAGGAATGGGGAACACTCTGCATGAGAGCAGGTCCAGAAGGACAGAGCCCTTGTGGTCCCTGTAGTTCTGCTGTGGCTCACTGTGCACAGATTGCCAGCGCCTCCGGTTCGGTTACAGCGGGTCGCTCCGTTCTGGCGAGTCATGAGGCCCCAACACTCCCCTGGTGTAGGGCCGCAGTCCCCAGCACAGCCACCAGATGGCACCAGGCCCACTCCTAGAGTCAGGAATGCCGGATGAATGCAGGGCCCGTTTCTGGGATCCTGACTGAAGCCTGTTCAGTAGCAGCAATCAGGACTCTGGACTGGACACAAGACTTAACTGGTCTTGTAGTTGGTGTGTATGTATATATACACACTGCACACCTTGAGTATATAAACTACACTATATATATACTGTACACACTGCACACCTGGAACATACAGTGCCTTCAGACAGTATTCGGACCCCTCCACTTTTTCCACACTCTGTTGTGTTGTAGACTTGTTTCAAAATGGATCGAATTGATTCTTTTTTTACGTCAATCGCCACACAATGCCCCCTAATGACAAAGAGAAAACATGTTTTCAGGAATTTCTGCTAATTATCACACATAAAAAAGTGAAATCTCCCGTTTACAGAAGTGCTCAGACCCTTTATCCAGTGTGCTGTAGGACCACCCTTGGCAGCGCTCAGGGCTGCGTGTCAGGCGCCCGGGTTTGCTGTGCACTCTGGGATGTGGCCAGTTTCTCCCACTCGTCCCTGCAGATCCACTCCAGCGCTGTCGGGAGCCGCCGGCCCCTCGAGGACGTTCCGGGACTTGTTCCGAAGCCACTCCAGCCTCGTCTCCCGGCCAGGTGAGTCGTCGCCCCGGCCCAGGGCCGTGCGCTCCGGACCAGGTGTCGCCCGGGACCTCCCGTGTTCGGCTCCGTTCAGCCTCCCCCTCAGTCGGGCCGAAGAGTTCAATGTGTCTCGTCAGACTAGGGAATCTTGCTCCTGCTGCTCTCGGAGTCCTTGAAGTGCCGTCCGGCCAGCTCCAGGTGGGCTGTCGGATCCCTTCCACTCAGGAGCGGCTCCTGACCAGCCAGTCCCCCACAGAGCGCTGCGGGATGGGTGTCCTTCCAGCAGGTTCTCCCACCTTTACACTGGACCTCCGCCCTGTCAGTGTGGCCACTGGGGTCTCGGTCACCTCCCTGACCCAGGCCCCCCTTGCCTGGATACCCCCAGCTCCAGGAAGAGTCTTGGTGGTCCCGGACTTCTTCCATCTGACCGTGATGGAGGCCACTGTGCTCCTGGGGACTTTCAGGGCGTTGCCGATTCTCGACACCCTCTCCCGGATCTAGGCGTTGACACAGTCCTGGTTCCTGGACTTCACGGCCTGGTTTGTACTCTGAGCGGCGGGGCCTTATGAAGACAGGTGTGCGACTCGAAATGCTGTCCGAGCAGGTGAATCTGCCAGTCGTGTTGTAGAGACATCTCAAAGATGATCGAGAGAAACGGGATGCATCCGAGCTCAATGTGGAGTGTCAGAGTAAAGGGTCTGAATACTTATGTAAATGAGACATCTCAGTTATTTATTTTAACACATTTGCAAAAAACCTTCCTGAAAACGCGTTTTCCCTTTGTCATTAAGGGGTATTGTGTGGCAGTTGATGGCAAAAAAAAGAATCAGTTTGATCCATTTTGAAATAAGTCTACAACACAACAAAGTGTGGAAAAAGTGTAGGGGTCCGAATACTGTCTGAAGGCACTGTCTGTACGGCAGACTACACCGGGAGTATACTTACTGTACACTGTAGTTTATGATCTCATGATTTTGTCTAAGTTGTCTTAAGAATTTTCCAAATAACCGTACTTTACGTAAAGTTGGAAATAATCGTAACAGATCGGAACCGATCCTGTGCAACTCATCCGGTGCAGCCCTGTCTCGGGGCGTGACGGCAGCGCGGGAGAACCCGCGTCTCACCTGTGCGATACGCGCTCTGGCCGCCAGGTGTCACTGTGGTCCCGCCGTCTGAGGGCCAGGTGCGGCGCGGCGTGTGTGCGTGTCAGTGTATCGGTCACGCCGAGGGCAGCTGCAGCAGAGCTGGAAGGAAAGAGCGCTGGCCTGCGGGGAGATGGGAACCAGGTGTGGACCGTGTCCTGCGTGCCTGTGGGGGCCGGGCGGGGTGACCGCGGCCAGGCAGCGCAGACTGGGAAGCTGGCGGGTCATGGCGTTCGCGTGACCGCGTCCATCCGTGGAAAAAAACCCTCCGGCCGCACCCTCCACACTCCCACAGAGCGCGGAGTGGGAGAGACCGGACACAGACTCGCCTCCTGCCGAGAGCCCAGCGTGCGCACGTGTTTCCGCCCTGCGCCCCGCGCCCCGCGCCCCTCGCCACGCGTGGGCAGCCCCCAGGTGGGCGAGGGGGTGTCCCGGTGCAGACTGGGTTAACAGGCGGAGGCTCAGAGCACATCTGGCGCAGCTGGAGCCGGAGCCGGGGAGAGAGAGCGCGCGCGGAGCAGACACTCCGGCACGCAGAGGGGGGAGGGGGGGCGCGCGACCGACCGAGACTTCCCAGCGGCTCGAGCGCTGACCCACACGCAGCCCGAGCTCCCAGAACACCGCAGGGGCACGAGGTAAGCGGACCGGCACGCGCGCACCTGAGCAGGGAGAGGCCGAGAGGGTCCGGTCCGGTCCGGTTCCAGCTCGGGCCGGGGGGGGGCGGTTTGCTCGTGTGTTTTTACAACCAGGCGCAGCAGGTGGCCTGAGTTACTGTCCGGGGATCAGAGCGCTGGACTGCTGCACCCCAGGGTGCACTGGATCGTAATAATACTACTGACACTAACACCAGCACTACTCCTACTTACACTAACACTACTACTAACACCAGCACTACTCCTACTGACACTAACACTACTACCAACACTAATACTACTAATACTAACTCTACTTCTAATCATACTAAAACTACTACTAATAGTAACGCCAATACTAATAATGCTAACTGTACTACTAGTAACACTAATACCAGCTGCAGGAGGTCACAGCGCTAGTAGAGATGGGAAGGAGCACCAGTGTTACTGCTGTTGGCTGTGTGAGACTGTGAGCTGGACACTGAAACACTGACCAGCGCCGGACACTGAGACACTGACCAGTGCTGGACAGTACTGCTGTCTCTCCTGAACTCCACAGCTGATATCTCTGCTGCTACTGGTTGAGATGGTGTAGCAGGGAGTTAAGGGGTCAGATACTGTGGTGATCAGGGAGGCAGTCATTTCTGTGAAGCAGAGCGTTCAGGCTGCTGCTCTCCTGGGCGCGGAGGGAGTGTCATGTGAGTGTCTGCCTCTGGCTGGGCTGCTCTTGGCCCCGGACTCTGGAAAAACAGAGTGGAAACTCAGAGCTCAGACTCCCACACAGCAATATGACTGGCACAGGCTGAGCTTCAACCCCTCTCTCTCAGTGCAGTGTTAATGTACTGGAGTGTCCAGTCAGTGTGTCTGTATGAACCCCTCTCTCTCTCAGTGCAGTGTTCATGTACT